AATCCAGGGCCTCACATGTGCTAGGCGAGCACTCTACCACTGAGCCACAACCCCAGCCCCAATATCCCAGTTTCTTTATCTATTCATGCATTGAAGGGCATTCTAGGTGGGTTCCAATTTAGCTACTGTGAGTTGAGCTGCTATAAACATTAAGATGGCTGCATCACTGTAGAATGCTGATTTTAAGTCCTTTGGGTATAGACCAAGGAGTGGGACAGCTGGGTCAAAGAGGGTWCCAGTCCAAGTTTTTCCAAGGAATCTCTATTCTGCTTTCCAAAGTGGTTGCACCATTTTGCAATCCCACCAGCAATGAATCAATTCACCTTTTCCCCCACATCCTCGCCAGCATTTATTGTTGCTTGAATTCTTGATAATTGCCATTCTGAATGGAGTGAGATAAAATCTTAGTTTTGACTTACATTTCTCTAATTGCTAGAGATGTTGAATATTTTTTCATATATTTGTTGATCGATTGTATATCTTCTCCTGTGAAGTATCTGCTCTTTTCCTTAGCCCATTTATTGATTGTGTTATTTGTATCTTTAGCTAACAACTTTTTATAATGTCAAATTCATTCTCTTTAGTTGATACTGGAATGGATGATGAGTAAGAAGGGAGGAAGGATGGCCAAAGAGACAAAAATAGCAGACCAGGTGAACCCTGTGTGACAGGAGGGCAACCAACCTTGGAGAGTCAACCAGGAAAATTATAGCAATCCCAAAACAAGTAAGTATGAGAAAGTAGTATATCCAGGTTTATTACCTTAAACAGAATATGGTGAACASTTAACAGTGGCAATTAATGGCAATAACACTCATAAGACAAAAACTTTTGAAAAATATTTAACAGTATTTATGTTTCTATTCCTTTAACTCAGTTGGATATAACTGAGTAAAGTATAACTTTAACRTTAGTAGGTTATAGTACTATATACTTAAAAAAGAGGATATGTAACATGTTTTTTTTAAAAAAATGTAAACATAGGGCTAACTGAAGTTATTATCTATCCATCCTGAATTAAAAACAAARCAAAAACAACGTAATCTCTGAATTGCCACAGCCTTTAGGACATTCTTCTTTCCTTGTATTCAACTAAGACAATTCAGATCAAACATAAAATTCACTTTGACTTACAGCTCTGCTCTTCAGCCCACATTATACCAATTCCTGGTGTTTGTCCAATATGGTGAGCTCAAGCTAAATATTCTCCCAATGAAGATGTCTGAGCATAGAATACTTAAGATTTTACTTCTAGCAACAGCAAGCTTTTAAAACTATAAAAAGTAATTTTCCACTTCTTCAGAAATGTCTWTCCACTCTCTATCTCCAGGCTTTCTTTGGCAGACCAACTGTTAATAAGTCCCTTTGCATACATAAATGCATCACCTTCATCATTTCTAAAACATTTACCACTTTTATACACTCCAAAGCATACTGGATAGATTCTAAATTGTAAGTCCAGTTCAATGCACTACCCCTTTCTTACCTTATTTGTTTTAGTTTTGAAGCTCTCTCACTTCTAAAAACTGAGTGTTTCACCATGAGTTTTGATAACACATAACATCAAATAACTTAGGTGTAGACAGCTTCCCCTTTGCTAAATTCCTTAGGGCCTCCTCAAATATCACCAGTTTTGGAAACTGATGTTTATAAATGTCTGTTTTACTCTAATATTTTTCTGMATTCTCATCCTCAACTTATTTCCAAATAAAGGATACTCTTTTGGCCACAACTCTGAAAATATGATTTTACAACACACTAACATATAATTTCTTTTTGTTGCTGGCAACAGTGACACCTATTTTGTAGGCACGTGTCTTCAGAGGATATTCTTCCTCTCCTGTTTCCACTAACTAAAAAATAACTGCAAATTTGGAGGAAATTTAAAAGTGACAAAAAACTATCATTATGAAAGCCTCAATATCAGTAAGCAAGTCACATCTATTCTTAGCAGTGTTATGTGCAAAAGCATTTAGCAGGCAATATCTTTTTATTTTTTTAGAAAGAAAATATCATTGTATTTGCATTTGCACTATCTGCTGAATAGGAAGGCAGATGAGSAAAATCTAATTTGTATCTGAACCTATCATCAACTTTTGCTTCATATTTTCTTTAGCTTCTTTAAAATCCTTACAGAAATCAACACTTTGATTTGAAACTCCATTTTCTAAATCAAAGTGCCTAAGAGCTGGGGGAGCATGTTTTTGTTGCTGTGATTTGATGCAACAACTGATAAAGAGTATTAGAAAGTATGACCACTGATAAGATCTGATAGAATCAGCTCTATATTAGAAAAGTCAACACATCTCATCAACTTTCCACCCTTTTTGCCTATAGAATGTTTTAATTGCAACCTATGAATTAGTAAAATGTAACTTTATTTCTTTTCATTCAGCAATCAAGGGAACAACAAAATAACATATGTATATTTATGTGGTATTGTCCAAGCTCATTCAATGCCTGCTATTTTCAACTATTTTTTTTGAAGATGACTAAAGTTCAGATTGATTTAGAAGTACTTGTCTATTGCATCCCAGACTTGTGAGATTCTGTCTCCTTAGGTGCTTTAAAAAAAAAAACTATATATGTAAATATATATATATATGTGTGTAAATATATATATATATATATATATAGGTTATAGTTGGACACAATATCTTCATTTTATTTATTTTTATGTGGTGCTGAGGATCAAACCTAGGGCTTCGTACATGCTAGGCGAGCATTCTACCACTGAACCACAATCCCAGCCCTCCTTAGGTGCTTTTCTGATTCCCCTACTATGCCTGTATTAGTTTGCTCAGAATATCATAACAAAAATAAACTGGATGGCTTAAACAGAAATGTATTGTCTCACAGTTCTGAAAGTAGAAATCCAAGATCAAGTGTCAACAGGGCCTTTAAAGGTGTTAGTGAAAGATCTATTCCAGGTCTCTGCTGGTTTCTTGCAATTCCTTAGCTTTGATAGCCTAACTCTTCACTTCACATGACTTTCTCCCTAAATACATGTCTAGGTCTAAATTCCCCCCTTTTATAAGGACATCAGTTACAGTATATTAACTCCAATATTAACTTAACTAATCAAGTCTCCATTAACCCTATTTCCAAATAAAGTCAATTCAATGTATGAATTCTGGAGGGGGCATAATTCAACTCATAATGATGCCAAATCCCAAATTCTTTTCTGTATATTGTGTAGTATGCTTTATTTTGGTTATCTATCTAATTCAATTTTATTTGTCTTTTCATCCATCTGATATAACATGTCATTATATACTAACATATAAAATAATGTTATATAGATTTCCACATATAATAATAACCTTTTCCAGTGATGTGTGGAACATTCTGGATTTGGCATATAACCATTCTAATTTTCATTAACTACACTCTTAGGAAATACACTAATATTCACAGTGTTATACTAGCTCTATGCTAAAACAAATCATAACAGCTAATAGAATGAGCAAAGTCAAAGATGGACTGCTGCYGTTTACAATTACAACACACTTGAATTTCATCCCTTAGAATCATGCAACAATGGTTGACCCATTGTTATGAACTACAAGCCAACTACATTATTTTCACATCACAGGAAGATGTTTCCTGAGATGCAGAATTTTCAGTGGTAGATGAGAAAAATCAGCATAGCCTTGGGCAGGCCATTCCCAACTGTTTAATTATAAATTCATTTTAATATGTAATAGAAAACACATCTGCTGCAAGGAGACAAAGGGATGAGAAAAGGGCAAATGTATGACCTCTCTAACTCATCTAGCATTAAACAGGCACTTTAGAAATAGGAAACAAATTATCATTCACATTTTAAGTTCATGCATATTTTGTGTGCTTTTATAATAAAACAAACTTTGGTGACTTGTTCACAGGTTAGGTGAGTTTGTTCAGAAGAACTGGTTGTAATATTTGGTTAAGAAGAGGTTGGAAGAATAAATAACTGAGTTCAATTGTAGAAAATCCAACTAAAATAGACAAGCTAAAATGTTCTGCTATTCTCTCTCACAGTTAAATTCTGCAGTGAATTAAGGCAAGGGAGAACTTTGAATAGTATGCAATAGKACAAGAAAAATTGCAAGGAAAATGTTATTTTAGTGAAATTCTTATTTGAATCAAATTTTAAAATCTTGAAATATTTTATTAGTATAACTTTTTATAAGGTACTCATAAATATAATAGACWTACACTTTTCTTTCTTAAAGATAAATTCTCTCATTCATATCATTGTCCTTTTCCCCAGAGTTAAAAACAGCTCTTTCTTCCAGTCTATTTTTCCTATTTGTTTTAAGTCTATGGCATTCTATGTAAATATGTACAACATTAGAGAATATAAAAGGCCAGATTTTTGCAAAATATTATGAGCTAATATGTTCCTAATGTTGGCCAAAATCTTTGCTAAATCACTGTCCTTCACAGCTTTTCCAAAATGAGATCCATTACTAAAATTTATTCTTGTGGTATCTGAAATATTTTAAAACCCCCAAGGTTAGAGAAAACACTGAAAGTAGCCATAGCTTTTAGTCTTAAATCTTGAAAAATAATTCTGAAAATTTCTCTCTAGTTAATGAAGTTTGCAAATGCAAAAACATATTCATGAAACACACTAGGGCTAAAGCATTATTTTAGAACTTAACAGATTACTTCTTTCAACTCCTTTCATGTTGGTATAGAATTAAAATTAACAATGAACCAAGAACCAAATTAGTATGAGATAAAGATTTAATTTATGATATTCTTTAAATATTAAAAGTTACTAAGAAAAACAGTAAATGTGCATGCTGTTTGCATCTAAACATCTTTGGTCAAAGTGATAATTCTCCACACCATAAGGAAACTTTTTTTTGAATTTGTAAAAACTTGGCAAAACATCCTAGCCCTTCCCCTAATTTCTCTCTTTCTAAACACAGCTCCAGAATATATCACAGGAAGAGCTGACACCTTTCCCCAGYGTGTTTCCTCATGTTTGCTTCATCCCTACCTTTTTGTGCCAATCTAAATACACATATTTCTGAAGGCTGATTTTAAGTCCTACATATCTCATAATCTTTCTTAGAAAATACAAAGGGGCATAATACATTGTGACAAATTTATGTGCAATTTATACAGGCTGTAAGAATATATATCAAATACTGTCAGTAGTTATCTATGGAGAATCAGGCCTAAAATTGTTTTACCTCCTAAGACTCAAATTTCTGTAAACTCAGAAGTTTTTTTAATTCAAACATCTATATATGGAGGGAAAAATTAACACAATGGTCTTTGTAGTTCCTTAAGTTACTAGAGTATTAATGATTTATCACTGGGTGACATTTTGTTTAATATTTTAATAGCTTCTTATCTCCTTAAGTGAAACTGCAGGTTCCATGATACATTTCCATATCTCCTGCCCTCTGCCTTAGTTCAAAAATCACCCAGTTTTACCACTCCCATTAGTTCTAGATACAACATCTGAATTAATCCTGAATAAGYCTATCCCTCTTCCATTTAATAATCCTTTCATAATTCAACAATTCAGAGCTATCATGTATTCTTCCTGTCTTTTCCAGACAAGACATCTCTAAGTCCTTCAATTATTTGTTATAAAAAAAAAAGGGTACCTGATGTTATCTCCCTTTTGCAGTTAACTGTCTGCTTTCCCTAGTGGCTCTCCTCTAAATGTATGCAAGAATACAGACACCAAATAATGAGGATACAGGGTGTGATCTGACGAGGAAAACTATAACATGTCCCAATTAGATAGTATACCTCTCCTATTGGGGTCTTATAATTGAAGTGGCTTGGGTTTTTTTGCTTTTGCTTTAAGTTGTGRTGTACTATTGGTACAATTGAAATGTAATCATTTATCACTTCTATGTCATTATTCCATTCATCTTACTTATAGATTATTAAACCTAAATACACAAAATTTATCGCTATTAAGTTCCATCTATTTGTTTCAGCCTATTATCTTAGTAGTAAGCTTTTTAAAAAGTGTAGCACATTGTCCAACATCTCCTTCCTAAGTTTGTTCCAGTCATTTGATAAGCTTTTCCTTTAACTTTTTTATTGTGGTAAAATATACATAAATTATYGTCTTGACAACTTTTAAGTGTATGATTCAGTGGCCTTAAATGCACTCATTGCACAACCATCAGCACTACATATCTCCAGAATGTTTTCAAATTCCCAAATTGCAACTCTGTACCCATTAAACAGTAATTTCCCCATTATTCCTTCTGTTCAGTCCTTGGTAACTTGGCATTCTATTTTTTGTCTCTAAAAATTTGATTATTCTAGGTACACATATACAAAGAATATGATGAGCTTGCTTTTTGAGAAAATCTAACAAAACACTAGAGTGGACATGGCAGTCTTCTCCGCTGACAACTATTTTATCATCACATCCAAAGTCAATCCACCAACTGCTCTCTTTCCTGGGATTAAAAGGAAAATAGAATTCTAAAATCAAGTGAGCTTAGAGAAAGAAAAGGAGACAACTCTGTCAAGGTAATTCCACTATACAAAGCCAAGGCAATACTTTGCCCACAGAAGAATGTGGAAAAGTAACAAAAGGACAAGAAAGGTGGGTAATGCCTGACTTGAGTTCTTAAACCAAAACTGAGGAAGGCCTTACAGGAGCTGTGCTATGCTTACAAGTTATTAGGATGATCACATCAGGTGTTCTATATCAAATAGTAAATGCTGAAGTAAATTCCAAAAGAAAACACGCACATATGTATGTGTGTGAATATAAACAAAGACATGTAGTTTATGAAACTGATCACTTAACATTAATGATATGACTAATATCTGAATTAAGAGTTATAAACTAGGGCTAGGGCTATAGCTGAGTTAGTAGAGTGCTTGCCTCACATGTACAAGGCCCTGGGTTCAATCCCTAGCACCACAATAAAATAAATAAATAAAGAGTTTTATTACTATTACTATCTAAATATCTGTGCATCTGTGCAAATTTCTGTGAGATACAGAAATACTAATAAAATAATTACTTTCCCAGATATATATCAGCCTGTCATTCTATCCTTCATCATTAGTATCCTGACCCAGGGGTGAAAGCTAAATATCAGGGGAAAAAAACTAAGATTTTTTCTCTCTCTACATAAGCAGAGGAAGATTCCTTAAACTCTAAGGTACTCTGCAAGAGAATTTAAAAACTCCAATAAATATAGCAGAGAGASATACAAAARTAGTGATTAAGATATTATATAACCAATATGTAGTTATTATTTTAGTTAATAAACAAGATACCGTTATCACAAGAATGATCCCTGAACGTAGCTAGAGATGGTCTTTTTATATCAACACTTGTGCATTTAGATTAATGTTTACCCTTGAGTTCCTATTTCCAATCTTGTCTACTGGGTAGGCTACAATAAATCTTGGCACTCACCATTACAAAGAAGTATGCATACAACGCTGTGCAATGGTGAATTATATAACATTTGTCACCAATCACTTTCCAATACAAAATGAGAATCAACAGATCTGTAAGAAGAAAAATAAATAAGACATTACACAGAAAGAAAGCTGCATYGTTTTTCAAGTGTATCTAGTTCTTTCTCCTGACAACTCATCACTGTCTACTCTGAGATAACACTTTGTTCACCCCTCTTACCCACTTTCTCACTATGTGTCTGCTCTATATAWCTGAATCATCCACCCTGCTGTGGTCCCTCCAAGACAAGGGCCACGCTGTGGGTATCTTTGCACCCWCAGAAATTAGGCACTGGCTTATAGCCTGTAAATTTTCTGAAAGTATAAATGACTAACTTATGTTAAAACAAATGAAAACACTATCAAATAAAAAGTAAATTTAAAAGTTGAATTACTGATTTTTGTCACAAAAAWATGCCAACAGATAAGATGGTGGTAGAAAAGATAGAAAAAGTTCAAAATTACCAGCTCGTTTATAACACATGTTCAACAAAAATTTTTTAAATTAACAACAGTTATAAATACTAACTTACAATAGTAAAATAATCAAAAACTATGACTATTAAAAAGATATGCAGGGGGCTGGGGTTGTGGCTCAGTGGCAGAGTGCTCGCCTAGCACATGTGAGGCCCTGGGTTCAATCCTCAGCACCATATAAAAATAAATAATTAAAACAAAGATATTGTGTCCATGTACAACTAAAAAAATTAAAAAGAAAAAGATATGCAAAGAAAGAAGTCAAGGCATCAATTTTTCTTTAAAAAGGGTCTGACTAAATGCCATGATTCAGGAAATAGTTTATCAAAATAGAAACTGCAGAAAATGTTAACAACTATTTTCTTTACCAAATGGCTAAACATGAATGTAGAAAGGGAAACAAATGGTTATCATCTCTCCAGGGGAGAATTCAGATTTCATGGRATCAGAATTTATGGACTACAAGGACGGTGTGTAAAAATAAAAATCATTAACAAACTAGATATGAACATTTTGAAAAAGAAAGCAAATTACAAAATTTAAAGAGAAGTCAAATACCATAATTGTGCAAATCTAGAAAAGTAAAATAAATTATTGTTAATTAGCTGCCTGATACYCTTCCCTAAATACATTTATTTTCCCTACATATTCTGTATACTCTCTGGTCACCAACTTCTATGATAATTATTTTKTAACATGTTCTATTGAGAGAATAAAGCAAACTTTTTTCAACTTGGTTTAGAAAAGTTTATTTCAAAAAAAAATAAAAAAAAGAAAAGTTTATTTCAGTGCATAACTCTTTCTTGTAAGATTTTTTGGATTGTTATGTTATTTGGAAAACTTTAATCAAATTTCTTGCATATAGGATTTCCTGAGGAGTGACTATTCTCTGACTTAACACTCATTAACTAGTACATGTGGCATATAATGAATTTTGTGTTAACCTAATCAATAACATCATTTTGTGTCAATTAAACTATAAATATAGTTTTTATGAGTTCACTGATTCACTTTTTAAATTGGGTTACCAAATAATTCAACAGTCTATTCATTATTTATCTTCAAAACTTATCTCTTCCTCTTAATGAATTAATTGTTTTGATACCATATATTTTTGTTATGATTCACTTCTTGATGGCATAYAATTTTTTAGTTCATTACTTTATCATTTTGTTTCATATCCCATTATTTTTATTTGTATTTTCTTTCAGTTATTTAATATTTTAAGATTTAAAAATGGGGTTTCTATATAAATGTACAAACAATGGTTCTATTATATCTTTTTAAATTAAGATGATTCAAATGTCTTAATTGTTAATGTATTTATTTCAAAACATCCTTTCAAATTGCAGTTAAAATGACATATTTTCAACTTACTTCCCTTGGCCTCGCTGTAAAAAAGGTCACTCCAATCCCATCCAACATTATAGAAAACATAACAGCAAAGAATGTAGAGTAGAAAGAGTCTGTGACCTTAACTGATTATGGCTAAATAGATTATTTCTGCAAATTCTACCAAAACAATGCAAACCATAACTATTGGAATATACATTTCAAGGACCTAACAGTGAAAGACCTTGAAGCTTAAACTTCATTAGCTTCACAGTAATTACAATGGAGAAACTCTTCAGGAAAAGGACAGACCACTAAAAAAAAAAAAAAAAAAAAAAATCTTAAATGCCCTGACCTTGGTGGTTTGAGGCCCCATTCTATAACCTGGAACTTCAGTGAGAATCAGAAAGGCAAGAAAAAAATGTTTCACATTCTTCTGTCATCATGGGTATTATTTTCCTCTGGACAGATTCTGAAAGCTACTTTTCAGATAAGCCAAAAGCACAGACTATGTATTCTTTGCATAATTCCATGAGTAGTATAAAAAGAAATAAACAATGAATTAAATATCACATACCAGAAATGAGGTAGCCTGAAGCAGTAGCAATATTCATAGTTGCCAGTGATGATTGACCCCTGTAAATATTTTTTTTAAAAAAAAGGTTCTTTTTTAAGCATATGGATTATAGATGAGTTACTTAATGTTTTAAAATTTAAATAGAAATTACTTCTCTTTATTGAGATTTAAATATAATGAAAATGATTTCTATAGATTCTTGAATGGTAAGCTCTCACTTTCAATATAAATCATAAAACATAGTGGAACTGTGATGTGGCCTATGATACTGTTACTAGCAGAAATATATTTTCCCCAGGATAGCCTGGACCCTCAACACCTAACGAAATTTAATAGCCTTCCTGTACAAGATGAATTGTTTTAATCAAGAGGTTTTCTGTTGCCTGTACTTTCAATGAAATTTACTCTAGGCCCAGGCAAATCTCTAAAATCTCCTTGTAGATCAATCATCAACTCTTGGAATGAAAACTAGGCTGAAATTCTCYAACTCACTTAAAATCAACCCATACTGATATTAGAACCCAACCCAATATTAAAATCAGGCCTCCTGATCACCTCTAAGATCACCCTATCCATTTGAAAACTATTCCCAGAACCTCCAAATCTAGGAGCACTGTACAGGGCTTGTTTTAAATTTGGAAAACATCACCCATACCATCAATGGCATTCACAATGAATTAGAAGGATAACTATAAACTTATAAGGTCATGGTTGACCTAAATGAGCAGTGTCTCTGCATCACTTCCAGATCCTATTTGAAACTTGGAAATGCCCCAAGTGTTGTGTTAACTAAGATAATACTTTTGCTACACAAGTTTGTGTGAAATTACACATACACACACACACATATGCAGATATTAAAATTTTACTGAAGATTTATAAATGTGTTCTCATATAATTTGCTCTCAAATGGTATTCCAGATGATGATAYTTTTTTCTTTATTCTAAGTTAGAAATTCAAATGCCTTAAGATATCATCTAACTCAACTCTGCTTTTGAGGCCATGTAGTACTTTCATCATAATTTTCCTGAGTACTAGATCTGCCTATTATCACACTATCAGAAAATGGTTAGAACAGGACAGTTTAACTCTGCTGTTTCCACCCCTACACATATCAAGATCATATATTTTTGCCCCAGCCAGACATCTGATTTGTAATGTAAATTACTAGTAAAATTAATACAAAATAAAACTGATAGCAACTAAACTATAAATTAAAAGATTTAGCAGAAGTTATGTTTTGTTAATAAATTTTGATCTRTAAACATGACCCAGGAATATCAGACRTGGAATAAATCATGGAATATAAGAAAAAAAATGTATCAAAAATATCAATTTTTTCTTKTGAGGTTAAAATTTAATAAGGCAAATTTTAATTTAATAAATTTAATAAATCAAATCTTTGTTAGAAAATTTACTTCTCAAAAGAACTGGTTCTGCTAACAATAATGTTAGTAAAATTAAAATGAAAAAAAAATTTAAAAAGCTAAAAATTGTTTAGGTGGATGATACAAACCTCTGATCAAGGAAATAAATTTGTTAAATTGATTCACTTTGAAAAACACTTCCTAATGAAAATTTATCAACTGGTATATCCTAATAGGAATTATTTCATATGGGCGGGGGGATCCTTAAACAATGGTGGTCAAAGTATCTCATTAAATTGCCCTATATCTCACAAACCCATAACTACCACACATACATCAGTGCAGTGCTTCCACAAAACATACCTCCTTTCTCTCAAGCTARGCTGAACTAAGCCTTCTTGTGTAATGCTGCAGAATACAGTGTGCAAAATCTCTGCCACTAGAATAACATTTAAATTTTTCAAAAAGAACCATTTATAAATGAYCCTATTATTGCTAGTTATTAGTGCTTCTCATGTGGTACTAAATTCCTCTCACATGGCCTTCTATAATTCTCATTCACCTCACTGATATTAAACAATGGGTCAAACATAAATTTGAAGACAAAATCTTAAGTATATATTATCCTATCCTATCTGACTACAGCTGACTATCCTGTCTCGATAATGACTCGGTTTTACTCTAAAAAGTGGTTACCACAACTTAGTTTTACTCATTAACACAGTATAAGTATTCATGCTATCATCTTATTCTCCTGGTTTGGGACAACAACTGCAATACTAAAGCAAAATGGCCCTCAGTATTTGCATTCCAAGCTAAAATYATTTTAATGCACCTTGTTGAAGTAAGTCTGAATATAAGCATTTTAATAAAGCATAAACCATCAATATTTTCTGTTTTAAAGTAAGTGGCATTCTTATTAATAATTCATATCCAAACATAAATCAAATTCACTAGTTTGAAAAGAAACAGCTTACCAAAGTGGATCTGCTATGACAGCCTCATCAAAGAAGAAAATGTACAGGCCCAAAATCCCAACCAGCAAAGAATGGCATGTAGATACTACCCTGAAATGAAACAAAATACATATGAAGATTTTAGATTCCTTGCAATAAATTTTAACTCATCCTGGAAACACCAACATTCTGAAAAAGTTATATCTTGATGCATTAAAATATAGAAGGTGGAGAGTATAATACAAAATTGCCATTTAGATATGAATAACAAGAAGAATGTCAAATCCACAATTTTGTACTAGAAAACTGGTGATTCATTTCTTAGTTAAAAGTTCTGAAACAGGAGTACATGAGGATCAGTTTTATGCAGACTGAGAGCAGTTGATAAGACCTCTATTCTGTGTCCTCTGAGCTCCATCCCAGACAGCATCACYGCAGGAGGAGTCTCCTGCTACAATCAGCTAGGAATGACTTCCAAATCCATTTGCCTTAATCAGTTCCATATTCTTAAAACAATTTTAATAGGTCATGACATGAAGATTATCTTGGAGATTTTAGTTTTAAATGTAGATTCACATGCATTATTGCACTTGATTCCTATAATAAATCTGTGAAAAATATGGGCAGCTATTATTAGTTCCTCTTYATCATTATTATGAAGCACTTCCAAAGAAAAAAACTGAGGGCCATAAATTTATACAGAAAATCTGTTTTACATGAAACACTCAAGTGAAAGCAAAATCTTTACAAGATCCAGGTCAAGTTTTCTTTTATAGAAAGAATAGGGTTTAAATGAAAAACATGTTTTTATGAATATATCTGGCAAATAATTTAGTAACTCAAACAGTACTTGAGCTTTATGATATGCTACTTAAGAACCATACAGGATACTGTGTAATTATCTGCACAATGAAATTTTTTTTACACAACAATTTCAGATTTCTCAAATCTTTATTTAGAAGTTTACAAGTAATGAAGTATTTCTTTTCATAAGAAAGGATGAACAGGTTTCTAGAGTATGATCCCCAAATCTTTTAAAATGAGCTATATAAATGAACAATATTGAGAGTTTGATATTAGAAAATTTCATCATAACTTGAAAAATCAATATACTCAATCTATAGATCTTAAATAGATATACCATCTTAAACCAAATCATATTTTAAATGCATAAAGATTTTCACTAATTTAGTTATTGACCAAGAATCCTTTGAAATACCCAAAAGATCATCTTGAAGTGTGAATAATTAAGCCAATTTATCTGGTTTAAAAGCTTGGAATTTTCATGCCAAGCACACCTGTATTCCATTTGAGCACAGCAGGATGAAAATGTAAAATCCTTGCTATCAAGTTAAACAYTCCATCTAAATAATCAAAGACAGCTCTCTGTGCTGTTAGAAAATTATATAGAAGGAAAAAACCTCTCACCAACTAGTTTTAGTGTTTAGTAACTGAGTCAGAAAGTTTCCTTTTTGAAAAAAAATCCTTTTTATTTGTGACACTYAGGTTTCAAATGCCCTTCTCTACTGAGATGTATATGGTGAGTGGGAAGCATTATATCCTTTAGCTGATGGGAAGGGCTCTGGTGAAGAGTATTCATCAGAGCAAAATCAAATGCTACTTGGTCTGGTCAGATGGCTCCCACTGTACTGAACAGGAAAAGCAATCATCTTGCACTCACACACCACTTTGCATTTTAAAGTCTATACTTTCAGAAACTTCTGTTAGTAAAAATTTCATATTTTATTTTTTAAAAATCAGATTCCTGGCAAAGAAAAATGTACATATTTCTTAGCATGTTTATTTTTAAAACCAAAATAAATTTTTTTTTTTCAAAGAGTTAAAAAGAAGTATTTGGGCTTATAAGTGGCACTTTACAGAAACAATCAATGACCATTTCGGAACAGYAATTTAAAGTTACTAACTTAATCACAAGTAGTGTGAATATTGCCAGTAGAAACTATATAGCTCTAATAAGCAAAAGAGTTAAATTTGGGAGAAAGAGATTTTAAAATGAGTAATATTTTAACATAATCAGACTTCCTTATGCTATAAGTAAGCAATTGAATATAAATAACTCAAAAAATTTTAATTGTAAGATGGAAAATATACTCATAAGTAGGTTTGTTTCCAGAAAAAAAAAATTAAAGTAAAATTTCACCTATAATTAAACTATTATCAGGTGTTCATTTCCCAGTATTTTCTTTGTCCTTTTACTAGTAAATACCTTAGGCCACCTATTGTTCAAAGATTCTTTCCTGATTTCTAGAAAGAATGCTGTGTGCTATATTGATCTGTATGTTTTAAGACTGGAAGCTGAATCTTAACACACATATATCTGTACTTTACAAAAAAGAAAGGCCTATTTTTTCCTTATTTGCATTCTATAGTCCCATGTAAAGCTGGAGYAGGAAACAGAGGTTTGAGAGACAGAAAGTGGAGGAAACACCTTTTAAACAGCTAAATGAATCTTGTATTATCCTAGATGCCTTTTTCAAATAGAAACTCACTTTCCCAAATGGTAATTTTCTGCATCATAGAAGGACAGTGATGAGACTGAATAATACAAAATATTTTTCAATTTCATCATTTCATTTTAATCTTTGCTTCTATCTCTTCGTACCCTCATTTCTTTGGCTTGCAGCTACCCAGTAATCAAATGCCTTTACCTACCCTAACCACAGTGAAAAGAAATGAAAATAGTTTAAAATACAATCAAAGACTGTTTGTCTCCCCAGYCCTTGTCTTTCCCACCATTCCAATTATCTTCAAATGTTAAAATAATCATATCTCTAGTACACSACATGTGAATAATATTTTTGAGCTAATATTAACACAAACTAATCACATCTCTTTTTTAAAAAAATATCTTAAGAAAAATTTGGGGGTTGGGGGACTAGGAGGGTAAAAAGAACAGCAGTAYACACGAACCAGACATATTAGTGTACACAAGAAAACACTAGATTTTTATTCACAGTCTGAGTTATAGAAGTGAATGACTGCAAAACAGGCTAGGAGACAGACAAGGGATTTCAGGTCAAATAAGACAATTTTTAGACATGGGTAGAAGTTCTTAATTTCTAAAAGGAAATTTCAGTAAAGAATAATGATAGTAATTTTAGAAACGCTAAATCCAGTTTATAGTTGTGTTAACTTCAACTAAATACTAATAATTAAAAAAAAAAACTTACAATGGCTGAGGCAATATTTGAGCACATGAATGCTCTAAAGCCAAGAGAGCAGTARCAGTCATTTTGCATCTGAACCCTTGTGAGATTAATGGGTTGCACACAAAGAATTTGCAACCAATTTAAGAAAACTTCAGTAGATTTCTTCAATCATAAACTAATTCTTGTTCCATTGATTTTGTTGTKGTTAAAAAACTAAAATGCAGTTACACTTTAGAATTACATAATAAAATAATAAGTTCTGACAGGCTCCAAATTATAATAGAAGGTCCATTAAAAGACACAGATGGGCAGATCATACACTATGTTCTCGGGTTGTATACTTTAACTGCCCTGGGTCTGGATAAGCTGGCCAATACTGTATAAGCTACTCACAACTCCAGCAAATGTTTTCTCCTTTTCTCCTTGCCAAAAAAATATGTTTGTTATTACAAAGAGTTCAGAGAAGAATGCAAAATCGTGAACTTCCAGTCACTGGAGTCTACTTAATCTTCCTACACTTACTTCCCTAAGTGCAATACATTATTCCTAACATTTTTCAATAWAAGAATTTTTAAATTTTTCTTGTGTGAGATCAATCTATTTGTCTTTTCTTTTATTTCTAAGGTCAAACTAAAAAATAGACCATGAATTTTTGTTAGATTCTAAATGAAAGCCTTTTAAAAACTATTTTAAATAATTTGCTTTAGAAAATCAGTTTTCTTTTAAGTCAAGTATGTTTTCATATGCTTTACCTTGAGTTCCATTCAATCTTCTTTTCAAAGCTGAGATTATTAAAACCTGGAGAAACTTTTGCTGAAAACCAAGAACTTACAAAGTGGAAAAGAAGCTGAAAGATGAGAAAGCTGGTACAAAGTGTGCTGCTGACCAGTATGGTGTTGGTATCCATATTTCTTCAACCTGTGAGGAAAAATGATGGTTATAAATTGCTATTTCATGACAAGACTAATTTTTTTTAATTTTAAAAAATGTGTACTTCTATTGTTATTAATATTTTTAAATTTAGCACAAGTGTAAGAATATAAACTATAAGAATTTTAATTTTTAATGATACCAGGGATTGAACTCAGGAAATGAATGCTAGGCAMATATAATTACATAATAAGATATTCTTAATTTCTTCTCAGTATTTTTTGTATCGCCTTTTTACTACTATATAGGAATTCTGGTTATTTTGGTATAAGTAATTAAGATATTCACCCTTATATTTATTTTATTTCATAAAAATAAGAATAAGGCAGTCTCTTACTTACAATGCTATCTGTTCACTTGATTCAATAGTAAACAATTATTATATAAAAATAGAGTTGAATGTCCTTATAATGTATWTCTTTTTACTTAATTTTTAGGGAAAATATGGCATTTCTGGAAACAATTGCTATATTTTAAAACATATCTGTTTTAGTTGATAATTTAACTGTTGTAACTCACGCATTTTCTTTTGGTCACAGGAAAATAATAGTTAACCAAAAATGTAGTCCAATTTTAAAAAACTGCATTTGACTCATATCTGTACATTGGCTTAACTCACACTGATGTTACACATGATAATGTAGTCTTATGCTATGATTTTTTAAATGAATTGATTAAATTAAATGAATATTAAAATTTTAAACCTTTTGTATGTTTCTTCACCTTTACCATCTATTTGTCATATAGCTTACATTTATATTAAAATTTTTTTTAAAAAAACTCTTAATTTAAAAATCTCAATATTCAAAATTATCTAAGTCTAGAATTTAACAGTAAGAGGGAATTTCAAATACTATTACAAAATATTCTTTTAATAATATTATTAATTATATTTAGGACAARTCACCTGATTTTTCTGTGACTGAATTCTCATCTTTAAGTTGGGAAAGTTAGATAATTTCTAAGAAACAATTAAGCCAAAAAGCATAGAACATTGTTTGCAATAACAAAACAAAAATTACATAATGAAAACATATTGTATAGTGAGACATTTAAAACAAAATTAAAATCTTAAGAATGATAGTCTTTAAAAAGTAGTCTTTAAAAAGAACCATACCACTGTTACTATTTAAATTAATATTTAACTTTTTTCCTTAGAACAAAAAGMCTCCATGGACTTTTAATTTTCTTTTTTTTTTTTTTAATAAAAGAGCTTGGGCTGGGGATGTGGCTCAAGCGGTAGCGCGCTCGCCTGGCATGCGTGCGACCCGGGTTCGATCCTGAGCACTACATACAAACAAAGATGTTGTGTCCGCCGAGAACTAAAAAATAAATATTAAAAATTCTCTCTCTCCTCTCTCACTCTCTCACTCTCTCTTTAAAAAAAAAAGAGCTTCAGGTTTTAAGGACAGAGCAGAAAGAAAAGGAATATGCATATGTATACACACACACACACACAAAGTATGTTTTTTTATCTTATTGAACTGAACCTTATTTGGCTCTTAAAAATCTGTGGAACATTCAGATCAAAAAAAGACACTAAAGCATTTGCTCATATCCAGAAAATATATCATTTCTATGGCTCCATCTTTGATAGAGCTGATCCTAAAATGAAAAGGAAATGAATCAATACACATTTCCAGCTGCCTAATGTGAAGAAATAAAGTCACCTACTGGAGCCAATTCACTAGAGAAAAACCAAGTCATTGACAGCACTAGCAATAACCCCACTTCATTCTCTTCCAACCAGGACATCACACTAAGAATCAGTCTCCCACAGGGCCCTTTCCAACAGAATTCATATGTCTGTAATGAATTCTTTCCTTTTTTTTTTTTTGATGTGTATGCTTGGTAGAACTATTGATATTGCAATTCTTCTCTGTGAAACTCCATTAACTTTATTGCTCATTTACTTTTTTTTAGTTTTGTTCAACATGTGTTTATTTGGCATTAAAAAATTAATTTGTGGCCTTTTTAGTCTAGGTTTAGTATTAACCAAATAACACATAAAAATTTGTACATAAATTAAACATCATTATAATTTTCTTAGTAAGCTGTAAAGGGGAAAATTTTTTTCTAAGATTAAAGTAAAGAGGGATCTGGAGGTCAGATGGACAGTTAATTGAAGAAAACAGAATCAGCAATCAGAAGAGAGTGAGAGTCAAACTTAAATGTGAGGATGGTTTGTCCCGAAGGCTTCTGATGTTCCTTGCTGGCTCTGGAGCTGGGGATGGGCAWGGGTTGCTCATGTGATGCTCAGTGAATTTCATTAGAGTTCAAGATATACAATGAGTATTTCATGAATCTTTGTTAAAAAGTGTCATAAAACATACGTCATCCACATTATCCAGTTTGTGATTTGTTCTTTTAACTAATATATTAAAAAGCATTCACATAGCCAGGCGCCAAGGTGCACACCTGTAATTCCAGAAGCTTGGGAGGCTGAGGCAAGAGGATTGTGAATTCAAACCAGCCTCAGTAAAAGTGAGGAGCTAAGCAACT